CTACTAATTTTTCGTCTCCTAGCTTTATATTCGCTCTTTCCCTACTTTTTCTTCCCTTGCACAACAGTATTTTTGTTTTACTTTTATTTATTTTCATACAATACTGTTTTGTCAACTTCAACTTTATTTGAAGCTATCTCTAACTCCTCCTTGCTAGATGTCTTTAATGATGTTGACCGCGTCTGTATTGATTGAAAGGTAGCAGTGACAGTGTGCATCTTTATCTGACTCCTTTTCTAATATTTGCTTCTCTATGTTGCAGATCTAGCTCTATAACTGCCTGTTGCTCTTTATACTAAGTATCACCCTTCTATCTCTGTAACTCATCCCTATAGTTTTCAGTATACTTAACACCTTGTCCCGTTTATCATTGCCAAAAGCATTTTTTAAATATACGAACCAGCTTAGACTTTACCAATGTCTGTTCAGTCTTCTAGATGTTCACCTTTTCAAGGTTGACGCTATTACCTTTTTTGTATTCAACGTCATTCCTGCAATTGGCTTAGTAAAATCGTTCACGTAAATGTCTTTTTCAATGACTTTAGACGGTCATCTTCTTCAATAATGGGATTACATTGGATCCACATCTATTATATATATATATATACATTGTTGATCTACCAGTCAATTTTTGTCAAGCTAGTGGTCTCCTTGAATTCATCCGTTCTGAAACTGTTTAATGTTCTCAAGCTGCCGCTGTTGATTTGTTAGAGTTGTCCTTCTTATGCTTCTTGATTGACCTTCAGTGTTTTCATCTATCAAATATAGCGTTCTTATGAATATTTCCTGCTCCTACGTTAAAGTAATTATATTCCTGTAGGTTATCCATCCGTTGTGTTTCTTGGCCCTCACAGCTGTTGAGATTCAGCTGTTATTTCAGAATAGCAAAGGTGGTTCGGAGCAAAAATTTCCTTACGAAATTTTGTAGAAAAAGATAGTGTCCTACTAAAAAAATCAACAATCTTTTCCTGCCTTTTCTATTGACTACCACGTCATTCCTAAAATTATTATAGCTAGTGTCCAGAACAAATTTTTCAATTGGAAGAAAATAACTTAATACAGGTGTAGAAGTGAAAAGCAGTATGGGTGACTTGTGTCCAACATAATTGTTTTCTAACTGCGGTAAGTTGTGTCAAGACCTAAGTAATACCGTTTGTAAAGGTGTGAAATTCAAGGAAGCTTCAGATGATTTACACACCTACATCAGTAGGTACTGGTCACTCCTACAAAGTTCTTATTTTTTCGTGTTGTAAATAAATAATCTTTGTCAAACACTCCGAATATCTCAAATATTATTATGTTATTATTATTTTTCTTAAAAAATTATAAATGTCATAGAACAAACCGATACAAAACAGTAATATTCATAATGTAATTTTAGTAACTGGCCTACCAATATACATTACCACACCAATAGTTTGTTTAGTGTGTATCTTCTACACTACAATTGGTGGTTTAAAAGCAGTGATATGGAGCGATGCAATTCAATTCACTATTACCTTTACCACACTTATTATCATATTCGTAATTGGTACACCGGCCGTAGGAGGTTTTACAGAAATATGGCGAATAGCAGAAGAAAATAACAGATTAGAGTTTTTCAAGTGAGTACTCCAAAAGCCCACAAAAAACGGAAACATTTCAACGTAACATATGTTTCAAAGGTCCATCGTACATATAACCCGTTCTACCGGACGCATCAAGATACTCTTTACCTTATATTTCCTTATTTACTGTAAGCGATTTTTTAATGTGTGTATTGCATGTCGCAAAACTCTATTTAAATTTAAGTTTTATAAAATTATTTTTAACAATTATGGCCGAATCGTGCTACCGTTCTAGTCAAAGGTATGCTCACGGTAATCCCCAATGTACTTTTATCTTATGCAATCTACACAATATATCAACATCAACGCATCACCAGAAAATGGCACATATTCCAAATTAATTTTCTCGAAAACAGTTTTTTGTTTTAAACTGTAGCCTGTGTTTTTCGTAAAGACGGTGTGCTTGGATTACTGTTAAATTTCGATTTTAGTCATACACAAAATACACGAAATATGTTTTTACCTGATGCTTATGTCATCCTGTGAGATACTACAGTTAAAATATTTGGGAACTGTATTAATAAAGCAGACAGACAATAATGAATATTAAGATGTATCTGCTATTAAAAATAAAGTTTCAGTAGTAGTTTGGGCGGAATATACTTAATGTTCGAAGGGAGCTCATTTCATTATGTAGATGCTTTGTAAACCTCTTGTATATATAGTAGCTACAGAGTGAATTTTTCTTTGTGCAAAATACGCTACTACGCTATAGAAGTAATTATCAAAATAGAGAGAGAAAAAATCAACAGAAATAACTGCTCATTGCTAGAGGCTTCAAAATTTAGTTCATTTGGAATTTTAATATAACCCTACTTTCGTTTATTTCCACCTCAGTGAGTCTTTTTTTATGTGTATTTGACTGTGTGGCCAAAAAAATTGATGAAGGGTTGTTATCATCCAGTGTTATCACTAGATACCACAAAATAATCCGGAGATTATGATTGCGGGGTTGTTGGTTCTATGACATCATCTTCTGAAAGTTTAGAATCAGAACTTCCATCATAAGAAGAACCACAAGATAAACCTAAATTATTACTACAAATTTATTTATTGATAATAATATTAATATTACATCCTTTACAATGACGACAATATTTATTTTCATTAATTTTAGCCACAACCAGGAAATACCGGGTGTACCGCTAAAATAATCCGCTACACTATGCAGCGCTATGTATCTCTCACAAAGCATGTGGGAACAACGTGTTTAATTAACTCAGTATTGAAATAGGGACGTTGTAGGCAATATTTTACATTTGTGCTCTCAATTGGAGTCATGCAATGGAGAGTTAATACTGGTTTTTCAGTCCCAGTTCCCACCAGCAACTTTGCCACACTAACAGAAGCGTTATTGTCACATCCTGTGATCGAGCTCTTCATACAGTAGGGATAGCGTTCTAAAGCACAGAGTGGGAGCAGACATCAGAGAATGTAATTTTCTTAATCTCGTTCTGCGGCAATGTAAAAATAGAAAATTGTGGATCAAAGATACAAACTGCCCTCCAAGAGTTTGGGTTAATGTGGTGTCTTTATATTTGTCAATCAAATCAATCATAGTATCTCTAAAGATATCGATTCCTCGATAAGTGAACACCGCATTCAGGACATTTTATCCCAGCACTTTACTTTGCACCATACATGGGTATTAATTTCCTATTGATACAGAATATTGCAAGATCATACGTTACTCGTGTAGTATACGAAAATTTAGAACAGGTAGACATTCAGACACTAGACTGGCCACATCGCAGTATATATCTCAGTCCTACAGATGATTTATGGAACAATTCGGATCTTCTTTCAGTAAACAGTCTTGTTTGGTGTAGAATTGAGTATATTGTGATTATTAGTTTCTTCAAAACTAGAATCTGATTGTTGCTTAGTATAGCTTGCTTTGTGTTCTTAATGAAATGTTATTTTCAATAGTAAGTATTCCGTCAAATGGGAGGAGCCTAAAAACTTGGCGCCGATTAGGGAAAATTTATCGTAGTTCCTATAGTGGACCGTGGAAGTTTTTAAATTACGATAAAAGTATTGACACAATATGTGATTGGGTTGACACAAAGCCTCGGAAAGGAAATTTCGTTGAAGGCGTGTTTTTAATGCCAATCACATTATAAAATTCGGAAATAACAAATCAGGAAGCTAGCCTTCAAATTCCGTCTACTTTTTACAAACTTCGGATTTAAAAAGTGATTCACGTTATATAATTGGTGAGGTGATTCTGGGTGATTTAAGCAATATCATATCAATGACGTGTACGTGCAAACCGATTTAAGAGAACGTTGCAAACACATTATTGCAACTTTGTTGTATTGCAGCAGGTAGGTACGTGGATAAATAACAATGGATTCTATCCAAGTACTGTACAAAAATTTATGGCAGTTCCTAGATATGAAGATGCAATTAAGTAGGTTAATTGTTTTAAATTAATTAAAAAGTTAATTATAAGAATGAACGGTTTAATTATGGGAACAGAACACCATTACTCTATCAACTGAGTTGTGATTGAAAATATGATTTAATAATATCAATACAAATTTGTTTTACAACTACTATTATACTTTTTTACACAAGTAGTAGATTTTCAACCCTACAAACTTTTAACTGGACCATTCACTTCAACTTCTTATTGTAACATAAGTACTACTTGACCTATTAATTTCTTTCGTTTTAATATTTCTATACCCATAGGACTATGGCGAAAAGTAATTTTCATCCTGGAATTTTTCTCCATAGATATAAATAATCTGAAGGCTTATCATTAAGTAATTTTATAATCTAATCACTGAAGAGAACCAATTAGTTCCGAGTAAATTTATTTTTCATTAAGTAATAAATGCACTGTTGTAGCCATAACCTACATCATTAGTGCTGAAATATTAACTAGAGTTGACTGAGTCTCTTCATTCATCTTGTAGTAGTTTTGGCGAAATTTTGGCAGAAATGTCATTCATAGTAAGCCAACAAGTATTATCGCATGACATTAATTACATTTGGCACAAGTTCTAATCTTGCATTGTTCGTCACAAGGAATTCTACATATGATTGCGAAAAATAAATTCGTAACAGTTATCCCCATACCTATTATAAAAATTATAGTACCGGCACCAATGCCTGATCTCTAAAAGCTAAATATAGATAACAGTACTTCGAAATTAATCTTAAATAACAAACTTATTAATGACATTTCAATGCATTCTATAAACAGAATTGTAACTGTTTGATGCTAATAACGTACCTATAGATATAATACACATTTTTAAAGGCAGCTTTGTTGGTTAATTTGTTAGCAAAAATAATTGCTTATTGTTTATGTTACATAATAACGACATACCTAGTTCATTTTTGCATACAATTTTCATTACTTACTATTTGTAATAATTACAGAATAATTATAATATTTGGATTGGGAACAATTATAACCAAGTGTCTATCCTGCTTTTCTGGCTTGATGTTGTTCGCAAAGTATCACAATTGCGATCCTTTTATGAGCAAGAAAATCGTGAAAAACGATCAGTTGCTACCGTACTTTATTTTGGACGTAGCAGGGCATATTCCTGGAATAGCAGGACTTTTTATTGCTGGAGTATTCAGTACTGCCCTAAGGTAATTAAAACTCAACATATCGATGTTTAAGGAAAAGTGGAGACTATATATAGTAAAATACAAAACAAGAAAGTTTCTCATTCCTGATTTAGTTGTGAATGCATGCTTCGAGTGCTTACTAAAACTGAAAAGTTTATTTACTCACAACTAGATATTTAATAGCAAACCCATGCAAATAGCAATGTGCTGGCTCCCTATAGTAATATAGTAATTTAACTAGAAAACAGTTTTGGTTTGGTCTATATTTTATCAGAACTATATATGGCGTTTTGATGAAAATTAATGTTTTTATTTAATTCTCTGTTATAAATCTTATTTTCCTTAAGTCGGCTTGGGTATCTAAAAATTTGGCAAAGGTTCAATTTTATAATGCCACATGTAGACAACCATACGTGAAGCAGCGCTAAGGGGTGACTTATAGTGGTTTGTTGAGATTGGTTACATTTTGGAATGGAATCTTTCTAGAGTAAGTCCAGTCCCTATAAATAACTGCCGCGAAGTCAGAAGACAAATTCATCCCCACAATCACCTACGCCCATAACCGCAGATATTGAGTCTTCATCCGCTGCTCCCCTTAGCGACGCCATTTCCTCCCAAATGGATTCAATGCCAGATGCAAAGTCGTTCAAGGCAATTTCTGACAGCTCCGTTAACTGTCTACCCAACACCGACCGACGAGAGAACGACGGCTTGAGCCAAAAAAAGCTACGAAGGAAGTTCCCCAATGCTGCCGCTGTTTGAAATACTTTCATACAGCAAACTACTGCCACGCAGACTGGGTCTGCGCTTTCTGTGGCCGTAACCATATAACTGCCGAGTGAAAAACCAAGGTTAAGAAGAATGCCAATCTCACTTGTGCCAACTGTAAAGGGGACCACCGCGCCACCTATCGCGGCTGCCCAAAAAGAACTCCCTTTGCCCCGCCAAGAAAATCGTCAATCCTGTTGCTTCCCAAGGCACAAGAACTACCCCCCATCCTCCTGCTACCACCTTGGCAATGCCCTCCAAAAATCCTACGTCAAGGCAGTAAGAACTGCCCCCTCTCTACACACCCAAAAGCGCAACATTAACACTTCTCCAGCTGTTGTTGCAATCCCAAGTTTGGAACAAAAACTTCAAGTTATTGTCCAAAACATGGTCGCCAGCATTGTCGCCGCCCTACAACAAACTATCAATGTCTAACAGCAAAGGCACCTCCCTTCTTGCCAAAATTCTTGAAAGCACCTTCTGACCCCACGTTACTCCCTAACCCCCACCATAAATTTCCTGACATCCTTGACATTTTCGTCACAAAAAATGTTACACTTTCCGCCGATTCTATCGTCATTAACGCACTAAGTTCGGACCACATTCCAGACTTGATTGATGTCGGCCGCCCAATCAACAACCTTCCAAACCCAACCACGTCACTAGATTGGCTAGACCTCCGTTACACCCTCGAAACATCTTCATTCAAGTGCACACCAACTTCTTCGCGTATCTAAATACATTTTCGACAAACTTAACAAGCGGCGTCACACCTCCATGCTTCTTCTTTAAGTTCAACAAGCGTTCGACCGAGTCTGGCACGAAGGCCTTATCTCAAAACTCATCGACCTTAACATTGCACATTTTCTAGTTGGGGTTATCAGGTCCTTTCGCACGGACAGAAGCCTTCAGGTCCACGTAGGCTCTGTGCTCTCTGCCAGTAAACCCGTCACAGCCGGTGTCCCACAAGGCACCAAACTATCACCTATTCTATTTAACCTGTTCTGTGTGGAAATGTTCTCCGACACTTCTATTTTGACAGCTCTCTACGCGGGTGATATTGCCATCTAAACTCCTTCAAAACCATTCTCCAATGCACAGGGAGAATTAATAAGTTTCTGCCCTTGCTCCTAAACGGGTACCGAAAATGGAAACTTTCCATTAACGAGACCAAATCGGAAGCAATTTTCTTCTCTCGTAAGTACCGAAGACCTCCCTCCATCTTAGTAAACAGCCGTCCCATCAAGTGGAGCAACTCTGTCATCTTCTTAGGCGTTGTTTTCGACAGAACCCTAAACAGGCGGCTTCACACCGCAATTACCCTTAACAAGGCAATGGGTGCATTCATCGCACTTAAGCCTTTCTTCCGAAACGACTCCATCTCCCAACATACTAAAATGCGTGCGTTTAACGCCATTCCCGTCTGGGGTTGTACCCTTCCCCACCGTCTGAAACTTTTGTAAGGCACCTATATGCGGATCCTTCGTTCCGCACTAAACTATCCCTGGTTCGTCAAAAATACCCAAATTCTGAAAGAAACCGGTTTACCTTCTCTCCCTGAGGCTGCAATCTCATTCGCAGCAAATCTTCTGCAAGGCCACGCAAACCCTACTATCTCGACACTCTCCAACTTCGCCCCGAAGTCAAACGACTGTTACCTTCTACAATGAGCCACTTCCTTTCGCTCACTCCTAGCTTCGCTTTTTAGCGCGAGTGTCCACCCATCACTTCCCATGCTTAATCATTTTCCTTTCTCAACCCTCTCCTAAATCCTAACCTTCCATTCTCTTGCCGGGGATGAATAACCCTCAGGGTTTATCTCCCCACTCAAGGAGGGGTTTTTTGTCGGTAAAAATCCGACACTACCTCCCTTCAGGGGGTGTCTTTTGAAGATTTCCCCTCCTCGAAAATAATCTAAATAAAAAAGAAATCAGAAGAAAAATAGTTCTGGTGTACGACATTTGATGTCAGGAGTGGGGTAGAAGAAGAAAGAGAACTGGAAAGATTTTGAAGAATTCTATCGAATATTCTAAGCAATCAGACAAATTTCTGGACGTTTTACAGATCGTTAATTATTCCAATAAATCACATATCATTAGGAAACTGTCAAAGAAATAAGAACGAATTCGACGTTATCGAAGAGGTCAATCGAATTGTGGAGACATAAACTACTATAATGTTTGAATGACTATCAACACAAAGGTATTCAGTACTATCACTCAATCGACCAGATGTAGTATGAGAATGGGAGAAAAGAGAATAGTAGGAGAATGGTATATTCGTCCCCCCACCGACCGTGTATAATAATGAAAATAAAAATTGGAATTGCAAATATGATCTTGTATAGTTCGGTATTAGTGACCTACATATTGAATGATTGGATTGGATCTCCTCCGTGATCACGGAATTGACTTCAATCTCAACACTCAACCACAATGCGCTTCGATGAACAAGAGAAAGTAATGTCAAATCCTAGACAAACCTTGCCGCGTATATGGCGATTGCAGAAGATCGAGTACTACCGAGTCACCCGTAGAACATTGTGCCAAAATAGATAGCACCGACGAATTGGCAAGGGCCATAAGAACTGGAGCATTATTGATATCTGCTATTGGCTAATTTGAAAGATTTGGAACAAACGACCTGTAAAGGCATAAAGTTGGGAAAATTTGAACTAGTAATTGCAATTCACCATTGTAACTGGGAAGGAGAACCTTGGACGAAACCGACGTTGTATCCTGCTGCTCTAATCGAAGTGGTGAAGTGGCCCAGTAACAACTTCAACAAGAAGCAAGTCAAACAATTCGAAATGCTGCTTAGCCGTTTCTGGCATATCTTCACCCTCCCAAATCAAGACTTCGGTAGAATTAGCTTCACATACCACCACATTAGGAAGGGTTCCTTAAACAAGTGGATGTGAGTGAGGTTCTTAGCCTTCCCCTACAGTGCTAGTACGAAAGAAACATTTTACCAAGAGATTTTGTGTGGATTACAATATGCCGATCGAAATAGAGCAGAAAGAAAATTACCCATTACCACGGATCGGCGACAAACCAGACAGTCTAGCTGGTAATGGGAAGTAGGAAAAGATTGCATTTACTGCCGAAAATATGATGCCTCTGGAATGTACAATACACCTGCTATGACTGGCCTATGGACACTATGTTACAAGGACAAAACTGGAAATTTTCTTTGTTGTTACTTAGAGGACATCGTTGTACTGGTAAAAACCTTTGAGGGTCACCTCGGAAACTAAGAGTTGTAAAACTGAAGCTACCGGAATGAATTAAGACTTACCCAGATAAAATGGATGTCATACCGAAACATTGGCATGAACTTAAAAGCTTTATGGGAGTTCCCTTCTTAAACTTGAAACTTAAACTGAACTTTGGTTTTGTATAAATAAAGTTTGTTGCAGTAAATTGAGATAAGTCTCTCGTTTTTTATATTCAGATACTTATTTGAATACTAAATTATCTATTTTGCCTATTAAATACAGACCATTTAAACCACACATTATCGGTGTTTTATAGATCATGTGATACTAGCAGAGTTACTCATAGTTTTACAGTGGATAATTGCTTTCCTGTCTTGTATTTGTATTTATTAAAACAGCTGTTTAATTTTACAGCGTTTAATTTTAATCACGCTAATACCAAACATAAACTACTACCTACTTATAATTTATTCAAAACATGATTTTCTTTTTAGTACGATGGCAAGTGGATTGAACACTGTATCAGGTACAGTCTACAAGAATTTCATTGTAAATTGGATGCCAAAAGGTACCTCCGAAAAGACTGCAAGCAATATATTGAAACTAATTGTTATAATTGCGGGGATAATCTGTTCTGCGTTAGTTTTCGTAGTTGACAAACTGGGAGCTGTTCTTCAAGTAGCCATGAGTTTCCACGGATTAACATCAGGAATTCATTTAGGAATTTTCATTCTTGGTATGCTTTTTCCATCTGCAAATGCTACGGTAAGTTATCTTTAGTTCACTTTGGCTACTTTTTTGTAATAACTAATTCTAACTTCCCATTAATAATAATATATTAAAAAATTGTTACATCAGTTTTTAAAGGAAAACTTTTACACCTGATAATTTAATTACCTATTTTTTTAGGGTACCATTTGGGGTGCAATTGTTTCACTCATATTAACTGCTACAATAACATTTGGAGCCCAAATATATGCTTTTCAGGGAAAACTAAAATATCCTCCTATATCGGCATCTACAGAAGGATGTGATTTTTCACCTAATATAACGTCCTTTGCTAACAGCACAATCACGAAGTAAGTGATTCATTGATAGACTGGTTCCTAAAATAGGCATGTTTTATGATGCCCTGCATGCTCCGCACTTATTTCTGCTACACCCTGCAACTAAAGTTACTGACTCATTGGTCACCGCCAAAACTGGCATACCTTGATTGATGAGTCACTCAGCCACGTTTATTAAAATATTTCCGTTTACCTACAACATTGTAGCTAATTAATACTAATTATACAATTATACTTTCCTATGTATTTCACAGATTTGTCCAACTTTTTGTTGGATAATGCAACAATTTTTAGTGTCAATCTAACCCGTTTGTGGGACAATTTGATCGTTAAATTTTAGAAGATTAATTAAACAATAGTGTAAAAATCTGTCCCCTTAGTAAAAAAAAATACTTTAGACCTCGTTCTTTTGATATTAGAAGCAGGAACTGTACTGTCCAACCCATCGCTTCTGTAGGTCAACCGTATTTCCGTTTTTTTTTTATAATAAATAGGTATACTATTTAAAAAGATGCCAGATAAACATGTCTAGCGGGTTGATTTTTGGCGGATAGAAAGGTAGGAAGACCGGTCAAAACGAAGCCACTCACGAAAATTCAACCCTTTGGTGATCACTTTAAAACAAAGGCGCTGGTCGAAGAATTGCTATTAATAATTATACATTTAAAGTTTACCGCTTTTATCCAC